CCCCAGCAATGTCCCTGTCCCTGTCCCCACACACCGGTGGTGATTCCCCTGGGGTATTTTGGGGTTTTGGGGGTCCCTGCAGGTCCCTGTCCCTGTCCCTGTCCCCACAGAGYGGTGGCCCTGGGTTGTTTTGGGGGTCTCTGCAGGTCCCCACACCCCAGCAATGTCCCTGTCCCCACAGACCCTGGGGTGTTTTGGGGGTCTCTGTGGGTCCCCAGCACTGTCCCTGTCCCTGTCCCTGTCCCCACAGAGCGGTGGTGATTCCCCTGGGCTGTTTTGGGGTTTTGGGGGTCCCTGCAGGTCCCCAGCACTGTCCCTGTCCCTGTCCCCACAGAGCGGTGGCTCTGGGTTGTTTTGGTGTTTTGGGGCTCTCTGCAGGTCCCCACACCCTGTCCCTGTCCCCATAGACCCTGGGGTGTTTTGGGGGTCTTTGTGGGTCACCACACTCTGTCCCTGTCCCTGTCCCCCCAGAGCGGTGGCCGCCCGGCCGGGGAGCGCCGCCAGCGCCCCAAGCCCGATGTGGACTGCACCCTCCTGTAGCTCCTCGTTCCTGTGGGGTCCCGGAGCCCCCCGAGTCCCCCCGGGAGATCCCACAGGGGTCACAGTGGACGCACAGATCAGGGGTGACCATCCATGGCCACCCCAGGACCACCCCAAACCTCCCAGTGGCCTTAACAAAGGGGGGTCCCACTCAGGGGGGGCCCCTCAGGGGGTCCCACACTCGGTCCCACACTCAGGTGGCTTTGGGGTCAGGGGGACACCGTGCCCCCCATCCCAAATGTGGCCTTAGCCCTTGGCAAGTAAAGGACTTTGTCCCCTGCACGTGGAGCTGGCACCGTGACATCTGTGGGGTTTCTGTGCTCCGTGGGTATGGGGGTTTGGGGGATTTGGGGTCACCATTCCCTCTGCACTCCACGATCACAGATATTTGGGGGAATTTGGGATTTGGGGGGATTTGGGGTCACCATTCCCTCTGCACTCCACGATCACGGTGATTTGGGGGATTTGGGGTGATTTGGGGTCACAGTTCCCTCTGCACTCCATTGGACACGGGGGTTTGGGGGAACTGGGGTGATTTGGGGGGATTTGGGGTCACCATTCCCTCTGCACTCCACGGTCACGGGGATTTGGGGTCCTCCCTGTGGGGTGCAGGGACACGGCGTGGCCGCCAGGGGGCGACAGGGACCAGTGGGGTCAATGGGGATTTATGGGGGCACATATGGGGCGGGTTATGGGGTTTGGGGCGAGCAAAGGGCACACATGGGGCTGTAAGGGGCACATATAGGGCGGGTTATGGAGTTTGGGGCGAGCAAAGGGCACGCATGGGGCTGTATGGGGGCGTATAGGGCCCGCATAGGGTGTGTACAGGGGCACAGAAGGGGTGCACATGGGGTGAGCACAGGGATGTGTATTTGGGGTGTATAGGGCACACAGAGCTATGTGCATGGGGGTGTATATGGGGGTGTATATGGAGTGTATATGGGGGTGTTTATGGGGTGTGTAGGGCACACAGAGCCGTGTCTATGGGGGTGTTTATGGGATGCACAGGGGGTGTCTATGGGGTGTCTATGGGGTGCACAGGGGATCTATATGGGGTGCCCAGAACCCGTCTCGGCGATCGATTGCTCACGCCTGGGCCCGCCCCGCCCCGCCCCACTGCGGGCACCGCCCCCCCCGCGGCGTTGCGGTGACGTCACGCCCGGGTTGCGGTGACGTCACTGCCGCCGCTGCCTGGCGCGGGGCGCGCGCGGGACGGGGGGGGCGAGCGGCGGCTCCGTGAGGGGACCCTGAGGGGACCGTGAGGGGATCGAGAAGGATCCGTGAGGGATCCGTGAAGGGATCGAGAAGGATCCGTGAGGGATCCGTGAGGGGAACGTGAGGGGATCGAGAAGGATCCGTGAGGGGAACGTGAGGGCACCGGGCGGCGGCTCCGTGAGGGATCCGTGAGGGCACCGTGAGGGCTCCGGGCGGCGGCTCCGTGAGGGGACCCTGAGGGCTCCGTGAAGGATCCGTGAGGGCACCGTGAGAGGACCGTGAGGGCTCCCTGAAGGCTCCGTGAGGCGGCTGCGGGTGAGTGAATGCTGCCGCGGGGGAAGGGGCTGGCTCCGCTCCGGGAGGGGCCGCGGGATGGTTCCCGCTTCACTCCCCGGGCCGGGCGGCGGGCGGGCCCCTGTGCGGGCGTTGGGCCTCCMTCTGCCCTGGGTCCGGCTGCGGCGGGGCCCCGGGGCTGCTCGGGCGGGGCCGGGCGGAGGCGGAGCCCTCCCGGAGCCGCTGCGAGGGCCCAGAGCGGGGTCGCTGCCCCCCGAGCCGAGCCGGGTACAGCGCGCAGCCCCCGGGCCCAAATCCCGCCCGGTGCCGTTTTTGTGTCCGCGACTCAGAAACGCCAGGATGGTGTCCCTTTCCAGCAGCACCGCTCCTATGATCGTTTCTGGGGAGGGGTCCGGCCTGGCCCTGACCCCCRTGCTCCTCCACACCACCGGCTCGGTGTCCCCGCTGCCGGGACAGCCTGTGCTTTGTGCCGCCGGTGCCCCGGGGGAGAAGGAGCTGCCCTGACCGGGGCCTCACCCCGTCCTCTCACCCCGTCCTCCCACACTCCCCTCCCGTTACCTGCCCGCGGCACAGCCCCGGGAGCCGGGAATTGCGGCACCTCCCTCCCGCCCGGCCTTGCGAAACCGGCCACGGTGGTTCCTCTTCCACCCCCAGCGGAGCGGAGCCGCCCCGTCCCTCGCCACAATCCCTGCGCCCTGTTGGGTATTTGTTTCCCGGGGTGCGATCCCAACCGATCCCATCCCGACCCCAGGGAGATCCCCAAAAGCGAAGGGAGGGAGAGCCGGGATGCGCCGAGCCCGCGGCTCCCCCGCCTCCCCTGCCGGGCCCGTCCGGAGCCTTTTTAAGGCACAAAGGTGCTCATTGTGCCGCCAGTAAATCCCTAATCCCGCGCTGGKGCTGTGCCTGGCCTCGGAGGGGTGGCAGTGGGCTCCGTGCCTCGGTTTCCCACCGGGAATTGGGTTTGGATCAACCGCAGGATGCGGACACGGCGCTCGGAAGGGAAACCACGTTTAGGGATTCTTCTCCACCTCATTGTGGTGCAGTCCCGGGGTGGGTCCGRTCACCGGGAGCCCGGCTCTTGCCTCGGGCTGCTTGCAGCGATCCGYGCTGCCAGTCGGAAGCAGGACTGGGGCCCCTGTTAATGATCACCCACTGACCTCTGGGCTGCAGGGGGCAAAGTCCCTCGGTGCCACAGCTGAGCGCCCGCCGCTCCGAGGGGATTTCACCGGGGCCTCCCTGGGAGCTCAGGTGGAAATTGGGGTGCCCGGTGCAGCCCGAGTGTGGGAATCAGAGCGGGGTGGGATAAGGCGTCTCCTCAGAGGTGCCAGTGYCCCCCTCACCTCTCCCCCTTTCCCTCCCCCAGCATGTTTCAGACCTTGTACAGCTATTTTTGGTGGGAACGGCTCTGGCTCCCGGCAAACCTCACCTGGGCCGACCTGGAGGACCGGGATGGGCGAGTTTATGCCAAAGCCTCTGACCTGTACATCACCCTCCCCTTGGCCTTCCTCTTCCTCATCGTCCGGCACCTCTTTGAGACGTGAGTGCCTTCCCTGGGGGTGGGGATGGATCCTGAGCCCCTGACCCGGCACTCCCTGTGCCCCGGGGGCTGTGGCTGCACCCTGGGATGTGGCACCTCGTCCTCAGCCTGGCTGGGGGTGCCCATGGCATCCTGGTGGTCCTAATCCCCCTCCCCCAAACGCTCATGTCCCCCTTTTCCCCACACAAACACAGCTTTGTGCATCCCCCGCCCAGTTTAGGGAGCAGTTTGTTGGGCAAACAATGGGAACAGACCCGGCTTTGTTGGGATGGCAAGAGAAGGGAGGGGCCCCCTTCAACCAAGTGGGGACAGCCCGTGACAGAGGGACCTGGGGGGTTCCCCTGTGCAAAACCCACCTTGGAGAGGGCACAGGAAGATGGGGAGACTGAGACACTGAGTGATTGTCGGTGGCTTTGATGGGGCCAAACCGTGCAGGTGACAGAAATGGGGATGTTTTTGTCCCCACTCCTTCCCCAGGTACGTGGCCACCCCCCTGGCCGGGCTCCTGAACGTCAAGGAGAAGATCCGATTAAAAGCCACCCCCAATGCGGTGCTGGAGAAGTTTTATGCTGCCACCACCAAACACCCCAAGCAGGTGAGGGCTCTGGGGTGCCCAGGAGGTGCATGGGAGGGTGAGGGTGGCACAGCCGGGGCTGTGTGACATTTTGGGGCTGTCCCGGTGTCCCCAGGCCGACGTGGAGATGCTCTCCAAGAAGAGCGGCTGCACCGTGCGCCAGGTCGAGCGCTGGTTCCGCCGCCGCCGCAACCAGGACCGGCCCAGCCTGCTCAAGAAATTCAGGGAGGCCAGGTGAGACCCCCCTTCCTGCCTGATGTCACTGTCCCCCCTCGCCGGGGGGCTCTGGGGGCTGCCCAGGAGGGTGGGAAATGTGGGATCGGGGCCGGCGGGTCCGTCCTCCTCCCTCCCGCTCCCCGGTGCCCGTCTGAGGACCGTCTGCTTCCTTTTTCCAGTTGGAGATTCACCTTTTACCTTATTGCTTTCATTGCTGGCATGGCTGTCATAGTGGATGTGAGTATTGTCCCCTCCCCAGGCTCCCCCGGCGCCCCCAGCCCCTCTGACTCCTCTCTGTCTCCCCTCCCATCCCACAGAAACCGTGGTTCTACGACCTGCGGGAGGTGTGGAAGGGATACCCCATCCAGGTGAGCACAGATCCCATCCCATCTGCCAGCCCTGGCAGCTGGGGCTGCACCCCCAGGGATTTGGGGATCCCCAGGAGACCTGGTCCAAACCCCCCAACCTGTGTGTTGTCCCCAGAGCATGCTGCCCTCCCAGTACTGGTACTACATGATCGAGCTCTCCTTCTACTGGTCCCTGCTCTTCAGCATCGCCTCGGACGTCAAACGCAAGGTGGGAGCTCCGGGAGGGGATGGAGGTTCTGGGACATCTTGGCTGGGTTTTCTGCACCCTCATGGTGGGACCAGCTGGGGACACGGAGGGGCTGTGGGATGGGGGTGCTGGGGACACAGAGGGGCTGTGGGATGGGGGTGCTGGGGACACGGAGGGGCTGTGGGATGGGGGTGCTGGGGACACGGAGGGGCTGTGGGATGGGGGTGCTGGGGACACRGAGGGGCTGTGGGATGGGGGTGCTGGGGACACAGAGGGGCTGTGGGATGGGGGTGCTGGGGACACRGAGGGGCTGTGGGATGGGGGTGCTGGGGACACGGAGGGGCTGTGGGATGGGGGTGCTGGGGACACGGAGGGGCTGTGGGATGGGGGTGCTGGGGACACAGAGGGGCTGTGGGATGGGGGGTGCTGTGGGGGGATCCAGGCTGCTGTAACCCCCCCATTCCTGAGCTCCCCTTTGCTCTGGGCACAGGATTTCAAAGAGCAGATCATCCACCACGTTGCCACCATCATCCTCATCAGCTTCTCCTGGTTTGCCAACTACATCCGTGCCGGGACCCTCATCATGGCCCTGCACGACTCCTCGGATTATCTGCTGGAGGTTGGTGTGTCCCCCTCTCTGCTGTCACCATGTCCCCTGTCCTGTGCCCCTTCCCCAGCTCACCCCCTGTGCCCCCCAGTCTGCCAAGATGTTCAACTACGCCGGTTGGAGAAACACCTGCAACAACATCTTCATCGTCTTCGCCGCYGTCTTCATCATCACCCGCCTGGTCATCCTGCCCTTCTGGTGAGCTCTGATGGGGAGCAGGGGAAACTGAGGCACGGCTGGGGGGTCTCACAGTTCTGTCCATAACGGGAGTGGCTTTTCCYGGCAGGATCATGCACTGCACGGTGGTTTATCCGCTGGATCTCTACCCTGCCTTCTTTGGCTACTACTTCTTCAATTTCATGATGGTGGTGCTGCAGTCGCTGCACATCTTCTGGGCCTACCTCATCATCCGCATGGCCCAGAAGTTCATAACTGGAAAGGTGAGAGGGGACCCGGGCCCACGGGGACGTCACAGGGGAGGGACCCACTCGGGGTGGATGGAGGAGAGGGCTTTGCAGATCCTGAATCCCAGATCCTGGGGACAAATGGGGAAACTGAGGCACGGCAGGAAGATGAGGAGGGACTGCTGCCTGAACCCCTTTTCCCTCTGCCCGCAGGTGGTGGAGGATGAGCGAAGTGACCGYGAGGAGACGGACAACTCGGAGGAGGAAGAGGAGGTGGTCAAGAACGGCCCCCTCTCCAACGGCCACCCCGTCCTCAACAACAACCACCGCAAAACCGAGTGAGCGCCCCGGAGCCGAGAGCCGGCCCGGCCCCTCCACACCGGGACCCGGAGCCCGCCGGGCCCAGCCCCCTCTGAGCGGAGCGGGGCGGAGCGGGGCCGCAGCTCCGCCTCACACTCACCGTCGGTGCCCTTCCACCTCTCACCTGCTGCCTTAATCCACTGCGGTTCCCGGGACCCGAGCGGCGGGGATCCCTCGGGGTGGCTCCGTCCCTCGGGATGGCTCCTTCCCGCCCCGCAGCCAAAGAGCTCGGCCCCAGCCCTCGCTGGGCTCCGTGTTATTCCCACTTTCCCAACCATTCCTTCACCGGGAGGGGAAATTCCCCTTTCCCTGCCCCGTGTCCGGCTGGAAGAGCCGGCTCAGTCCCTGCTCCGCCGAGCTGGGAGGGAAGAGCAGGGAATTCCTGGGTGTTTCAGTGCCTAAATGATGGGATGACACTATGGAAGTACTTGGGGGAAGGAAGCTGCGGGATTGAGTCACTCCTTGTGTCTCACAGAGTTTAATCCTCTCATTTCTCTTCGGTAAATGGATTTTGAGTCTCTCCCTCTCCGTGGCCTCTCCCAGCTGTAACAGGACAAATTTCCGACTGATTTTTCCTTTTTTTTTTTTTTTTTGATTTTTTTTTTTTTTTTTCTTTCTATTTATTTGGAAGACAGAAGGAGCCAGGCTTGGCTCTGTCTCCCGCATCCGCCCGGGATGCTGCGAGACCTCCCAGCATGGAGGGGTGGGGGGGAAAAAGGACCATTAACCAATGTCAGACCAAAACATGTTTTGTTGTTGTTTTTTTTTAAAAAAAAAAGGAAATAAATAAAAGGTTAAGTATATTAAAAGTTAAAAAAAACTAATAAACTTGGGTAAAAAAAAAAAATACAGGATTTGGGCATATTCTGTGTATGGCATAATGGCCCTGGGACAAGGGGTATTTTGGCACAAATCCTTTAGGCAGTGCTAAAAATGGGCAGAATTGAGGATTTTGATGGTTTTTATATTTTTTTTTTCTCCTAAAAGTTCTCCAAGTCTTCCACTCCAGGCTGGAGCATGGGTTTGGGTTCCCTGAGGAGCTGCAGCCCCGCTGGGATGACAAAGCCTCTATTCAGGTGGACGCTCAGGATGGAACCGGAGCTCCAGGAGGCCCCAGAAAGGTTTAATTCTACAAAGAAAAAAGGTTATTTAGCAGGAAAAAACCCAACAAGCCTCCCTTGTGCAAAGCTACACGAGCTGGGCTGGTGTTGGTCGTGGGGGGGCTGTGGGATGGTTGGAATCTGCTCCACCACCCCCAGATCAGGGTTTTCCGTGTCAATAACGTGAGATTTGATCCCGGTTTGTTAAACTTTGCTTCTTTGAATCAGTTCTCARGGTGGTTTATTGAACCCTTTGGATCTGTCCTGGTGCCTTCCCACCCTGCAAAACAAAACAAAACCCCAGCCCACGCTGGGGATGGTGTGGCTGCCCCACCCCGGTGATTTTCCAGGTGGATCCGTGTCCAGCACCGGGCAAGGCTGCGGTTGCTCCTCCCTCCCACA